CAGCAAGGCTGGCTGGGGAATTCTGGGAGTTGAAGTCCACACCGCTTAAAGTTGCCAAGGTTGAGAAACACAGTAATAGATGATATAGTTTCGCCTACATTCAACTGGAAACCAGAACTGAAGTTTGCTGTGTTCAGGTCTCTAGTTCACTGATCAAGTCCCCAACAAGGTACGATGCCAACTTCATTACAATCTGGCTTCCAAACTTTAGAAAGATGGAACAGCACAGTCCTCGTCAAACACAAACCTCGCACATCGACACAAGCTGAATACAGCACACACACCCCCAAAATTTGATAGCTGTAAGCAGATCGCTTCTACAACTCAGTGGCACAGCGGCTCAGTGAGTCTCAGGATCTAGTTCTGCGAATTCACTGCTCCCTTTGTAACACTGTCCAAGCTTTTCGACTCTGAAACCAATTTGGAAAAAAAAAAGTAAAGCAAGCTAGCCCTTACCATGTACATGGGAGAACCGCACAGCGTCGCCGCCATCATATTGTTCTGCAGGTACCGTGCAAATCCAAAATCAGCTACACAGAGAAGCAAATGAGGGGACAGGGGCGGGGGGGAAAGGACAGGGAAAAATTTTACAGCAGGCTTTAGCAAGCACCGTGAAATGTGAAACGCTGTTTTCCTTCTCCCTCCCCACCCTTGCTTTCTTTTGTGCTGTGTCTTTTTTAAAGAGTTATTAAAAACAGTAACAACAATAGTGGCATTTTTTATGATGATTGTGATTATGAAATGCTGGGAGAGACCAGGCTGAATCTGGAATAGCAACATTCTTTCACTGGTGATTGCAAGCCCAAATCCTACTTCCTAGAGAGCAAAATCTGCTGAATTCAACAAGATTTACCTTCCCCTCCCCAAACTCCCAGCAAAACCCAAACAGGACCGCAATCTGAGATAAAATTGCAAAATTTTATCTCTCTCTCTCTCTTTTTGTGATTTCCATAGTGCATTTCGTCCCTGGGCTTCACTCCCCTGCTTACCGATCTTGATGCGGATGTTATTGGGGTTCGACTTCTTGCCCCCCGTGAAGGAAAGCAGAATATTCTGGGGCTTCAGATCCCTATGGATGATCCCTTTGCTATGCAAGATTTTCATGGCGCCTGCAATTTGCTGGAAAAAGAGACGGATCGTGTCTTCGCTGAGCGTTCTCATGCCTGTCAAAAGGAAGGTGGGGAACAGACGGACCCCAATGGTGAGAAGGAGTTGTTAAACATGAAAGCAGTTGGGTGTATTCTTCCTGGATAGTTTTAAATGTCTCTTCTGATTCATTTATTTCCATGTCTTACTGTACTGCGGTGTTTCCCAAACTTGCCAACTTGAAGATGGCTGGACTTCAACTCCCAGAATTCCTCAGCGAGGAATTCTGGGAGTTGAAGTCCACCCATCTTCAAACGACCAAGGTTGAGAAACACTGTCTTAGCATAATTATTAGGAATATTGACTTTCCCCCCCAACTGTTCTTGGCCTGTCTTCGTTTGTCTTTGGAAAGAAGGGGCGGTCTGCAAAACTAGTGAAAAACTCACCAACAAGCAAAGCAAGAATCCATCAAAACCAGCCCCAAATCAAAAGGATAACAGAAACACATCCGTGCATATCCCCAAGTCTCATCTGCCTGCAGGAAGACCTCAACGGAGTCAGGAGCCCTGCCCAGTTCTGCCAGTTCCCTCTCTCCTGCCAAGGTTTTATCCTCACAACCCCCTTGCGAGGTAGGATAGGAGGGCAAAGAAAAATGCTTGGCTCAGAATCACCCAGCGCATGTTGTAACTGAATGGGAGGTGGGCGAGAGGGGATTTCAAGCCAGGTTCTGCCTTGAGAGGGAATGTTAATTTTCTACATTAAACTTTCAGAGTGGAATCCTCGAAAGGTCGCTGATTGCGTGCCTGTTAGTTACGAGGAGGTGGTCAAGCGAGAGTTTAAGGCCCCCGGCTGAAAGAAAGAAGGAAAACGAAGCCTTTGCAAGCAGACTCAACAGATCCCAACGGTCACGCCGACCTCGGTACAGAGGCTGAGCAAAGACACACACCCAGAAGGCAGAGTGGATTTATTCTCTGTTGCCCCAGGACCCACAAAGAAGCAGGTTCAGGCAAGATGCTAGGAGGAATCTCCTGGTTTTCGGAGCTGTGGGTCAGTGGAACGGGCTGCCACATGA